ACACACACACACACACATACACAAACACACACGCACACACACATACACACACATATACAACATGTGTCACGACGTAGTGGGATCATGCCCTCGTCAATTTTTGGACCCATAGGGTTATTGGTATAATTTTAAGGCTTGTTTATATGCCTTCCTATTGGTAAAAAAATATTTATCTTTGTTGAAAGGAATTCAAGTTATTTTCGATTGAAGGAGGTCAGGGTCGCCTGGTTTCAGAGGTAAAATTATCGAGAACGTGACTGCCAAAGTTTGGTAACTTCCATAGCCTAAGACTTAGAGTCCTTGGAAATTAAAAATCTACTTTGTTTGTGTCTTTTATCAATGTTTTCCAGTAAAATCCATACCGAAATGTGTTTTTAAATGGTCATAAAAGATGTTGAGCCCCCCCCCCCCAAAAGAAAAAAACCCAATAATAATAAATTGACCCTCGGTCAAAAAGATGCCAATTTCTTTGATTTTATTATTTTGACAAGCGCTTGATTTTACCACTATACCTCACATATATGTACACACTCACACACACACACACGTACACGCACGCAAGCGTGCGCACACACAAACACAGACACGCAGACGTGGACCCTTGGTAGACAGCTTAGAACAGTAGACCAACTAATTTAGGGAGAAAGCATGCAGCCCCTTCCAACACAGAAATAGTGGCACAGGAGAAGGACCTATTAATATGGAAGGGGCGCCTCTTGTTTTCGGGATGGAGGGCTATCCCCCCCCCCCCCAATCCCTCCAATCCTCATTAGGTGGTGGAGGTTGAGGTAGAATTGACCGGGGGTGGTTGGTGGGTGCTCTGGTGTGGTTTGCTTCTCCTTTCCTATCAAACACCTATCGTCTTTATCTCCCCTCCTTTTTCGTGTTTATTACTCTCTTGTAACACCTCTAATCTTCGGAATTTATATAACCTTATTGTGTTGCAAGTGCCGTAAAAACACTTACTAAAACTAAGAATTGACCAAATTACAATTTTGAGGTTGTCAAGGTACGTAAAAAATGTGTCTTCCAGACGTGAAAAGAAATCAACTTTCATTCGGGCTTAAATATGAAATTTTGCATACATTCGACTCGTTGATTATATAGCTTAACTCAAAGTACGGTCTTGAAGTAGAAGGGACAATACAGGAATGAACATAATATCACACAATGATTAAATAAAATAAAACCAGACTAACGTCTTCAATTTGTGAAGAATATATTTGACTGTTAGACGCTCCAGATAAACAACAATATTTATCATATTTTGTGGTAGGTGCTGTACCTCGAAGCGTATGTAATGGCCATTATAAACTTTGCAAAGACAGTCACAAGTCAAAACAAGTATTATTCTCAAATCAATACAACTCTGTTTTGGAGATTATGCCACATAAACTGCAATACATCTACGACAAAAACAACTATTATTAAGTCAAGAATAATTGTTTTTATAGCTTTTCTTCCGACACACATTTCACAAAATCAAAAACTACGGAAAAGAGAACGTGTGAAGAACGTCAAAAAAACAAACAAAACGTAATGATCGTTTTAAGTTATGTGATTCTTTTGTGGTATATATTCTCTCCTAATGGGAATGGACTTCTTAAATTTCTCTCCCGAAGCGAAGATAACAGCCATTAAACTAGAGACACCGGCATGCCGTTTATGTAATGCTGAAAAACTTGACGGAGGACAAGCATCATTTTTAATCTATTTATAGAGCCATCAGTTATCTGTGTCTAAGTAGTGTTTAAAGAAAAGAAAATGTTATCCATCTTGTAGACCTTGATAGGAGCTATTATGTGTATATTTCAGAGATGGAACTTAAGAGAAGAAAGAGTAGTCCTATTTGAATAAACTGAAGACTGGTTGAATAGCTGAATCTGTCTTTTAGATGTAAATAGGGCGTTTTAAACAGCAATTTCTTTCCTTATGAATCGTATCCTAACATCCATATCATGTGTGCAGAAGAAGGGCAAATAATCTCAGTATCAACTCAACATATTCCTTCAACCTTTCGGGGAATGGAATCTGTGCATTCAAAGTCAAAACTCTGCAGAAGGCACTTTAATTGTTTTGGTTAAATCCATTACTTTCATTGCAGCACACAGTTTTTAGCGCGTTTTTGCGAACAAACAATCACTGACGTGAAGAAACTGATCCTGTATCGAGTTTCATAGAACAAATTATAACCTGGTTGACTTGACAAGAATGGTCTACTAAATTTGAAAAGTGGCGCTTGAAGTTTAGAGTTATCATTGTCCAGCATATTTTGCAATGTCAGTGCTGATTCTGTTTGGAAATTAGCTAATGCCCTCCCAAAGAAACAGAAAGTATCGATGGGAAATAATCCTGCTGTCCAACAGACAGAGGTAAGCACTTTTAGTCGAATAAAGATCCGGGTAATAAATGATACGAGTTCGACAATTTGTCAGCACATTAAGGGTATCATTTAAAAATGGAGAAATCGGATCGATAGCACAAAGCCAGATGGATGAGGAGTTGTGACAACTATTAAACACAGAGAAGAGGTCTGTTTCTGGTCCGTCCAGTAGTAACTCGGAGGTGTTGTCTGTTAAATAAAATTGCAGGGCTACAAAGGGTAGTAAACACATTATACTGTACAATGCACTAAAGGGAAACCACCTTCAAAGGCCGGAATATGGCTTGTAAAATGCAGTCACAGTTTTCAATTTTACGTTTTTCTTCAAAGCCATTTCCGCATCAACCAAGAGACTGCTCATTACCTTATTATTTGAGAAATGAAACGGATTTTGTTGGGTAGTTTAGGTTTGGTTTGGTTAGGGTTTTTCTTGGTGTGTTCTTTCTGTTCAAAAGTGAGAAGGGAAGGAAGAATTTGCTAGTTGGGGGGTCTTCCAACAAAGTAAAATGTTTTCAGATATTCCTACAACGGTTCCACAATTGCATTATCTACTCCACTAGTGTCAGTGACGATGATCTTTGGTTCTGACTTCCTTGTCTCCAAACTGCCTTGACTTTCTCTTTTTCTTTGTCGGTCAGCCTCTTCTTCTTTGTCCTTGATGACCAGTTTCCGATCCAAGTAGATGCAGACTACGAACATTATGCAGTACACAAGGAATGCCGTGGTGGCTGTGGAGATTTCTGTCCCCGAGACTATGTACCTGACAAAGGGGGACAGAAAAACAATCAAATTCGTGTAATAAAAATTGCAGTGGTTCTTGCTATGATTACCATTGTCTTCTCTTTCTTGTGGTCATCTGTGACAAGTGAAAATCTTGATCTTAACGAACAATACAGGCTTTGTCAAGATTTTGATAATCAACAACGAAAAACAATACGGCAATGTTGCTACTACAAATGATTTTGAGGCAAAATAATCACGAAAACAAATATAACCATAATGCTACACATAACTAAAATCATAATCAAAACTGTAATCAAAATCATAATCAAAACCATAATGAAAAGCATGCTATAAAGGCTTTAGAAATAATAATGTTTCATCATACACATTCACACACGCAGGCACATAATTCATATACACATTCACACACAACCAAACACGCAAACACATAAATGCATATGATAGCAATGATGAGAATGGCAGTCTTCACAAAACTCTACGATTGCTGTCTTTTGTCAGAGAAATAATAAGTGAGCGATAAAGATATGTGGTTAACAGTGTAACGTGTTGTATTTCCTTAAGAGTCTTCGTTTCTTTCTTTCCTTTTCCTTTCTTTATCGATCGAGTCAAGTGTGCCAGCGTCTGTGGTGCAACTGCTAGGTGCTTGGCTGTCGCACGCAGGAGACCTGGGCCGAGTTCAATCAAAGATCTTTGGTTCAATTCCCTGCTGGAACTATTTTTATCGAGTATCTCGGTCTTTCTGTTGGGATGCTGCATTCCTTTCAGCTGGGCTTGGCCCTGACGATAGGCAACAGACAGGGTTGACGTGTGGCTCCTAAATGAAGTAAACTGTGTCGACGGGGGTGAACCCCTCCCTCCTAATCTACATTTAAAATATAAAAAAGACTAATGTTATGAGACTCAGAAATGACCAACTGTGTGTTCCTAGTAGTTTTTTAAAATGGTGAAATGGTATAGATTTACCCCCCCCCCCCCAATCTACACTACTAGGTTATTTGAGGCAGGTCCTATGAGTATAGCGTTCGTCTCTGAATTCATGAAAGAGCCTAGTCAAAATGGAAATTCGTG